ATTTACTGTTGCTCAGAATTTTAGTTTTTGCACTATTGGATAGATGGAAAACAAAAGATCTTTTAAATGAAGTTTTATAAGACATATTAGTGTATACTTTTTTTGGGAAAATTCTTTGGATGTTTTCTATCATTTGATGTAAACAATTGTTAGAAATAAAAGAGTGATTATGGCCCATTTTCAAATTTTGCTTACATATGTTGTCCCAGAAGAAAAGAAAGAAAATTCAAGATAAATTATAGTTTAATTTAAGCAATGCGTTGCTTAAAAATGACTATACATATAATTCTACAATTTAAAGTATAAAAAAATCAATGGAAATTTTTGAGATATAAATTTAGCAAATCAACAAAAGTAATTGTCTTCCACTTCATCTCAGGTCTGTTACCTTGAGATTATTTTACCCACAATTAGTTTGTAAATCTACCTAAAGGGGGTAGTACATGTTTAAAGTGATCAAGTTTATCTTGACTAGTTTATCTATGTCACTGAACATGTACTGCCTCTTTTATGCATATTTACAAACTAAAGAAAAATCTTTTGTAATTAATATTTATCATGAATAAATATAACACGCTAATAGTTCATATTTAAAAGAATTAAACTTCTTTATTTAAAAAATAAATTAGGTCACAGAACACAGGTGCAAAGAGGTTGATAGCATAAAACTTGAAAGGGGCAGGCATATTTGCCTACAATCACATTTTTTAAGATTTATATCTATAACATTTCAATTGATTTTTTTATATTTTAAATTGTAGAAATATATTTATAGTCATTTTTATGCAATGCAGTGCTCAAATTAAACATTAAATATTAATTTATCTTGAATTTATCTATCTTAATTTATCTTGTTTTTCTTGTGGGCAAAATTGGCACGTGTAAGCAAAATTTGAAAATGGGCCTTATTCATTGTTGAAAAATGATTTTTATTTTTGAACTTAATAGTTTTGAACTTAGTTTAGTTGATAGCATTGTCATTGAGACTAAAAAGATGAAAATAAAATTTAAAACAATAATAATAATAATAATAATAATAATAAAAAGTTTTTATAAAATAAACTTTTATTTAAAAATCATAAAATAATTGAGGAACTTCCAACGTGGCTTCATGGTGTAATGGTAGCACACTCGGCGCATATTCAAGAGGTCCAGGTTTGAGTCCCGGTGAGGGCATTGCATGTTTCTTCAGTTTCCTGACATTGAAAAAAATTTTAATGAATCTACAGTGATGCCTGAACTAAAAGGTTGTGGTCTATAATTTGTCACCACCAGGATTTGGCGATTGGTTCCCTTCATCCTCAGTCACCCTTTAAAAGGCAGATTATATATTTTCTCCCTTCTTCCAGCATGCCTTCATGGTGACATCACTACACCACAAAGGCATGCTATACTCAACATTTATTTTAGAGGTCCACATTCGATTCCCAGCGATTGCTTATTTTTCACATCTCCTGCTTCAAAATAACTTACCGTATATACCCGCGTATAAGTCGAGATATTTTGGACAAAAAAAAAGACTTCAAAGTGGGGGGTCGACTTATACACGGGGCCATAAAAAATTAAAAGAATCGGAAGTTCCAAAATTTCTTTATATAATGCAGTTGTTTTCTTCCCGCACTCAAATTGGACGACTTATCAAATAAGTTACTTACTTGAAGTAATTTCATGACTTAAATTATGTGACGAACTAATCACAGAGTTTCATACTTTAGTTAAAGTATGTTTCGAGTAAGTTTCGATTAAAAAGCCCGATATTACATTAATTGCTCAGTGGGTTAAAGATGCTTGGAACGAAATACCCTCTGAAATGATTATAAAATCATTTAAAAAATGTTGTATTAGCAACGAACTAGACGGCACGGAAGATGATGCTGTTTTTGAAAGTGAAAATGATGATGAAGGCTCTAGTAGTGATTGTAACAATACAGAGTTCGAGACTGAAAATATGTACGATGACGAGCCAATGACCACAGAAGAGTTCTATGAAATGTTTGGCGAATCTGACCATGAATTGGACATTGAAGGATTTTGATTTTGTTTATTTACCAAGGTATTTTTTATCGTATATTTACTTTTTTTTCTCAGATGATTTGGAATAAATGTAGCACTTAAAATTTTTTTCGAAGTTTCTCGATCGGTTTCGGATGTGGGGGTCGACTTATACAAGGGTTTCTTATTTTCTACGAATTTTTTATATCGAAGTGGGGGGGGGGTCGACTTATACGCGGGTATATACGGTAATAATTCTACAAACTAAAAGTAGAAAATTAATTCATTATGTAGTTAAATGGTAGCAAGAGATTAAAAAATGTATTCACATTCATCTGCAGTTTTAAATCATGAATAATAAAAGTTTGGGCACCGAAATAACAAAACCTAATAATTAAATTGCATTGCCAAAAGTATAAGCCATTAAGATAATACATTTATTCATATTTTCTGATTATCCTTCCAGCCCTCACAAAAAGTTATAAGGTATTTCTCCCACCTTCCTAGCATGCCTTCGTGGTGTAGTGATTCTGCTCGCCAGGCCGGTATTCCAGGGGTCCGTGGTTCGATTCCCAGCGATGCCGTTGTTAATTTTTCATTTCTCCTGCTTCCAAAAATACCTAATGTCTCTACAGTGGCACCCGAACTAAAAGGGTGTTGGATGATGCTTCTCCTCACCCAGGATTTGGTGATTTGGGTCCCCTAAAAACCTCAGTCGCCCTTTAAAAGGAGGAGTATATAAGGTATTTCTCCCGCCTTCCTAGCGTGGTGTAGTGGTTCTGCACACTGAGCCGGTATTCCAGAGGTCCGTGGTTGATTCGCGGTGAAGGCATTGTTAATTTTTCATTTTTCCTGCTTCTAAAAATAACTAATGTCTTTACAAAATCATCATTCATTTCCAACTTATTGTATGCCAACCTAAAACGCAAAAGATGCAGCCATTTAAAAAAATTGCAGTGCACTAAAAATTACACAAAACAGCAACTAATTAACAAAAATGCAAGAAATTTCCATAATAAAACAACATCCCCCCCCATGCTGTTCTCCTCATGTACACATTGATCTGTTTTAGCTTGAGCAAAATCAGAGAATTGCAGAAATTCTGCGCACACTGTTGTTTTCTCGTGCACAATGATCAGTTTTTGCTTAAAAAGACATCAGAGAATTGTACAAATTTTATCATTTATGAAATGTAATGCAAAATTTTGTGCATTCTCTACTGTTAGACAAAATGCCGTATTTCTGAAGAAATGCAATGCTTTCTTTTTCATCAGCCAGCACACTTCCATTACAATTTCTTACAAGAAAAAAATACATGAATTCATCAAATAGATGTAACAAGCACTGACCAGAGAAACAACCTTCAAATTTGAAAAGCCAAAATCTACACTCGTGCTACGTGTGTGTGTGCATACCTGAGTTGCCACATAAATACCTTTTCGTGCTGTTATAGATTGCCTATCATTTCAACATAGAGCATTTTGTAGTGAATTCTTTTCATGGTTAGGCAGAAAGTATCCATTTATCTAGGTTTTTATCATTTGTGATAAAAAATTATAAACGAATTTTGTAAAGAGAACTATTTAATCATTTGCTTCCATTAAACTATACGATAAATTATTTTCTACTTTTAGTTCATTAATTATTTTATGAGTTTTAAATAAAAGGTTGTTTTATAAACATGTTTTATATATTTCCATATTTATTATTGTTTTATTTTACCGCCATATGGATATCATTATTTTTCTTCCTTTTGTGTTTGATTCTAAAGCAGTTAGTTTCATTATATGAATATCTTGTAAGTTTTCTGCAATAGCCTCTGACTTTTTATGATAGATGAATTTGTATAATTAAGACTAGTCTCATCTTCTTTGGAAGCATAAACTAATTTGAGATTAATTTCAAGCAAGAAGCTAAATGACTTATCGCTGTGTTCAGTAAAAAGATAGAGAAAGTAAGAAGAATGTAAAAGGCTCTTTTGTTAAACTCAGTAATTTAACAGAAGACACTTCTTATGCTTACAAAACCAGCCAGCATTTATGATGTAAATAAAAAAGTAATGAATTCGAATTAAAGCTTAGTTGTAAGTAGCTAAAGGCTACATAGAATGAATAATATGCAAAATGAATAATATCAAACCTAATACAAGCCTAATGGCAAGAATAATGCACTGCTGCAGACAGATTGGAATAGAAGAGTTTCAACTAGTAACATGGCCTTCAGCAGGTGAAACACTGTCTCTTCAACAGCATAAAACTTTTCTTTAAATCGGAACTTTTTCCTCCTTGTTTGAATACGTGCAAACTAAAATTTGAATTCTAGCAGGAAAACGGAAAGAGAAAGGTTATATTTGTTTTGCTCTTTATTTGTAATTGCTTTTGAATATCGGATAATGTTTTTAGACCAGTTTGTTTTTTTTGAATGGCCAGTTGTCAGTTTGCATAATGTAATTTTTTTTTTTTTTGAGTAGTAATTTTGGCATGATGTAATGTTTTATTCTTTTTCCAAGTGTTTTGAAAGCATGTACGGAAAATTCTGGATGCATTTCAGATTCAGTTTTTCAGTTTTTAATGTTTTAAATGAAATTTAATTGAATCATTTTTCAGTTTTTGATCTCAAATGAACCAGGAGAATGAAACATGTTTTCAGTACTTATTAATCGACTTTTATGAAACTTTAATTCATTTTCCCCTGATGAGTTCTAAATTGGAGTTTCAGTAAAAGGAGTTTTTATAATTCTGTATATTTTTCCTTTTCGCATTTTTTTTTCGAGTTGGTTCTACTAATGAATTCTTATTTTAATTTTGATATGTTTAGATATTGTGTTAAACCTCTTACACACGGTTGCAATTATTAATATTGTTGAGGAATTTGCCTTGCTTTGATTCCAATTTAATTTTAACTTTAGATGCTTTAAGTTTATATATATATTATTTATATATAGTAGTTAAGCTAAAATTTGCATTGTAACATAACTTGTTTAAAATGAAATTTTATCTATTTTTCAGCTATTAGGTTTCTGAGTAGTTCAGCTAAAATTCCAAGAATGCCACCAGTTTCTTTTGTGCCAGACACTTACAAGGTACGTGCAATTCCTGATTGCAGTAATAATTCTATCCTTTGAGAATGATCTTTAAAACCTTCCTTAAACTGACATTACTTTTCCACCCTTTCCACAGGAATAAAAATAAAGATTAAATTAGCATTTAGAGAAATTCTGTGGAAAAACATTATTCTCAGATCGTTAAAAATTATACATTATTTTTATTTACATGTACGAACTGTATGAAGAAATTATGTGCTCAAAAAGATATATAACCACAAAAATATTTAATTCTCTAATGCACTACTTTGCATACATTAAGAAACAGAAAAATAATCACACCATTTTATAAAGCAGTTAATTATGATGAAATTTGAAAAAAATCTTTATAGAGCTGCAGTTTAGACTAATACAAAATTTTAACAAAACTATAGCAACTAGTTTGTAGCAAAACATTTTATTTGCTTATTAATGAATAATAAAAAACAGTGGAGTTTACGAAAATTAATTAAATAACAGAACTTTAGGATGCAGTTCAGTCACCACTTCAAACAGTCCATTACTTACAAGCTGTTATTAGTTATGTATAGGACTTCTATTACTAACAACCATTTTTCCTGGAAGTTCTTCAAATGATCTTTGGCAAAAAGGGAATAAAATAGTATCAAGTTAAGCTGCAGATTATATGTGCTTGTGCAGTGGGATGCAAATGTGTGCAGAAACTAATTTAAAGATGTAAAAAAAAGTAGAACTTTTTCATGTTATAAATATATTAAAGTTGTAGCACCTCCTATTTTGTTTCTAAAAACTATTTATCTTTTATGAAGTGACAACGCCATTATTTAAAAAATTTTAAAAATAATGAAATTGTTCTTTTGCTTCGTGTTATCAAGTTCTGTAATCTTTATTTAAATGGTTAAAAGTTAGTTTAATTTTTTTTTAAAGAAAAGAACGATTATTTTAGCATTCATCTATGACACCTGGACTTGAGCATTAATTAAATGAAAAAGGCAAATGATGATGAAAATAAAAGTGATACTCTGGTGTCGCTAGGGCAGGACTTAAAAGAGAAGGGCTAGCTCATAGAGCTTTTCCCCCTGAAACAGGTAGTGGGGAGTGATGACGTAGCGCGGAGAGGCAATTGACAACATAGGAATTAGCATTTTAAATCTGAAGAACGAGAGTTTAAAATGAGCTGTGTGTGAAAGATAGCTATAATTTAGAAGAGACAGGTTACTGCAGTATGCATTTTACACTGAACATTAAAAAATTTAATGGTACTTACTCAATTTAAAAATAACAGATAATATGCGCTACTCTTAGCATACTCTTGCTAAGAGTACTCATAGCATACTCTTAGCACTCCTTTTTTTTTAATTTGCAGGGATTTTTTTTCTTTAAATGCCTGTTTATTTATAATCATTTCTTTATCTGCACGTTAACTAAGAGAACTGTACTACTGCTTGTAAGATAACTATAATAACAGCTATTTAAAATTAATCAAAAAACAACCTTAAATTGGCATGGTTTTCAAAATTTCTGCTAGTTTGAGTTTCAGCCTAATTGTAAATTTTACATTGGCATATTTTTCTCCCGATTCAATATAATAACATATATTTTTTAAATAATTTTGTAACTTAGGCTTAAATCAATATTACATTTAAATAAATGCATGTAAGATTGTTATCTTAACCCGGCGGAAGTCGCACTAGGAAAAGTTACTAGAGTGGGCGCGTGGGGTATCACATAACCCAATATTTAAAATATGATAAAAATAGTTTTATTTAGTTTTAAAGCTGTTTTTCTTGTTCTCATGTATTAGGAATACTTGAATAATAATTGGGTTTCAAAAAATTAATTTCCAAAATAATCTTAGAGTTAAAACTAAGATAAATGAAAATAATAAAAAAAATAAACATCATGCCTCTAAGTTTCATTGCATCTCTAATACACAATGCTTATTTTATTTCTTTACACTTTGAACGAAATACATTCATGTGTTCTTGGCACAGAATGTTTTCACATTTTAAACATTGCATTCACGTTCTTCTGTCCTTGGCTCAAGGGCAATTTATCACATCTTTCATACTTAGTTGTTTCGAATTTAATGTATTTGTTTTAATTCTTCGTCGAAACTTCTGCTTTTGTTTTGCATGCAAGTACATCAGTTTGTTGGTAAAGTATTAATCTCTGATCTTTTTTCATTAATTGTAATGCTAAGACCTTCAAAAACAGACTTCTGTTTCTGGTTAGTGGATTAGCAGTTGAATGTAATATAATTCAAGCATTTATTACAGTGACATTCAATGCAGGAAAGAAAATTACCATTGACCACCTCCTTGTTATTCTGGCAATTGAATAATTGGCTGACATTTCATTCCCCATATCCACTACTCCTTTAGTCATATTATTAAAAAATATATTTCCTGACGTTTATTTTCTCCAATAGTATCATCGTTATGTAATGTTGAAAGCATAAGAACAGTTTTTCCTTTTTTAGGAACATCAGGAATTAATGTTTTATCTTTGTCGAAACCAAAACATTGTAGAAAATATTCTTAGTTTCATCTTCAGTTTCCGAAATGCAATCTTCATCGCTTTCAAATATTTCTAAAAAATCTCACATGCGTTGCATCTCCAATTCATAGGGACTCATTCTTTTTACCATAATGCAGTTAGAAATTTTTAAGAATTTAATGTCAAGTACTTTAAAATCACTTGCGAGTAGAAATATTTACTGTTACGCTCTAGAAATAAATTTCTGAACTAAATATTCAGTCAGAAAAACACTTACGCGAAAAGACGCGTGGGGTGTGTCATACCCCAGTTTCAACAAAATACCGATAAATCTTTTTCCGAAACACACAGGCAAAAGAAAATGCGGTTCTGAAAGTCAACCACAACTAGAAACTCAGCTACTGAATGCAGCACAGAATTTCAGTTTCACAAGTTAGGAATATTCCACTTTTATGTAGGGGTGGGGTATGATACACACCACGCGCTTCCTCGCAGGTTAATTTAGACAAAACAACTTTACTCACTGTACTTAAACAAAATATTTAATTTTTCAAAAGTGGGGTTAAGGAGGCAGGTTTTCTTATGCCAATTACTTTAATGTTATACTATTATATTTTATCTAGAATGCTAAGCTAGCACAAAATCGAATCAATAACACAGTATACAATAAAAATAACTTAAACATAACTTAACAAAATTGAAATATGCTTTATGATATTAACTTCTAAAATGTCACCTAGAAATATTTCAAATCAAAACATATTACATATGCTTACTTGTACAGTCACAATGCAACTACGAGTTGTCGAAATATTATTTATTGGCTACCACATTCGAAGCAATCCACTTTTTTGTCTTTTGGGTTGTAAAAATATGCTTTAGACGTTTTTCCAAATTCTCCGATCTGTGCTGTTTTTTCCTAAATGTCACTGTTTGGGATTTTAATTTCTGAATTTCTATTACAAGTTTCTTTCTAGATGTCGTCCGGCCCCCCCAGCGGCCGAGCGGTAACGTTGCTGAACACTGGTAGTACAGTCCGAGGTTCGAATCCCGGGCTGGCTGCATGGGCGTTTTCGTGGTTTTCCCCATGTGTAACGTGTATACGAGCCAGTTTTCCTTAGAAAGTCCTCCACAAAGGCATCCCTCCCTTAAGGCAGATAGCCCTCGAGTGCTTTGCCGTAATCCAATAAAACCAAACCAAAACCTAAACCTGTCGTCCACCTTCTTTGTCGCTGAGCAAACATTCTATAAAATTTTTCTTTTCTCTATTTTTCAATATTTTATTATAATTTTCTAAGGATAATATTTTGTTCTTCAAATTATCAATACATTCTTGTTTATCTTTACACTTAAAGCTTTCAGGGATATTGTCACTTAGGGCATTGTCACTTGTGAATTTTATTTCAAAATCATTCACATTTGATTTATTATTGTCAGCTTCAATTTTGGTCTCGGGCTCAAAATGAATTTTCTTTGGGCTTAAATTTGTGTAGTCTTTCAAAAGCTTTCTGCATTAGTTTTCTTTTCAAATAGCATTAGTTAGTTTTCAAATGTCTCCGATTACTTGGTGTTATTTTGTTTACTGCACACGATAAATTTACTTTCGGCACAGTATTGTATTTCAACAGTTTCTTTTGCGGCAATCCAAGCAAGCGATTTCTCATGTCATCTTCATAATCACTGCACAGAAAATGTTCGCCGCAAATTCTTGGGTTTTTCACATTAATAGGATCCTGTCTTTGACATTTATGTATCCATTCTTTCGACAAAAGCAAATTGTCCTTTGGGAAAGCATGAAATACAATATCTCTTCCTTTCGTATAAATGTTACGGCACGTTGCTACAGCACAAGAAGCATTATTACATAAAGGGTACTTTAAATATAGAATTTAAAAGGAAAACTGATTAAAACTATATATATATACACAAATAGTTAAATATTTTCATTATTAGAAAACAAATATGTATGATTAAAATTAATTTAGGATATGTGACCTCCAGAAAATCGTCTTGCAACTGAATAAAACTACAGTTTTAAAGGCACGAAATGAGAGCAGGTGCAACAGAGACACGTCAGATTACTTCCAGTTCACCCCTTCCATGAGGCTTGCGTCGGCGAGGAGTCGAACAAAGGAATGACCTAGCCCTTCTATTTATGCCTGTCGCTAGGGTTAGCATTAAAATTCTATTGTTCTGGAAACCAAGTCCAAAAATATGGTTTCTGGAATTGGAGGTACATTTTCAAAATGCTGCAATAATGGCAGATCAATTTAAATATGATTATATCATCAAGTGCATCGAAGCTGAAATATTATCACAAGTGTGGATATTTTGATTAATCCTCCAAAAGTCTATGAATACATTACAATAAAAGCAGGCTTGTTTTTATCTTTGTGGACTCTGAAACCCAAAAGACTCAAAAGCTACTAACTTAAGTCGAATTGGGTGATAAAGTAAAACCTTTCGAACTATTATGTGAAATGAAGAATTTGCCTACTGATAAGGTGGGTAAACCTTTTATT